ACACACACACACACACACACACACACACACACACACACACACACACACACACACACACACAGGTAAAAATATTATTATGTTTTTGTCTTTGACAGTGGGACATACAAATCTGCTGTTTGATGTCCTCCTTCCACAGAACTTATTCTGCTGCTCTTAGAGCTAAGATCAGTATTTATAGTCAACAGTGCAGTTGTTCCTGCAGACACAAGATAATCACYTTATTTCAATATTTCAGAAGAAGAAAACATCAAACCCTTTGATGGTACTGTTTCCACTTARCTCTGAGGTACAAACACCTGGCTGTGGGGATCACTGCTATAGAGAATAAGCAATAACTGATTGACAGGGTTAAACTGATATTTATAACGAATATGTTTCAAATGTGCTCATTTTATTTACCTATTTTTAAAACAATAAGGTGAATGGGTTCCTTTAATATAAACCTGATTATACCTTCTGCKCACTATATTCTGTTTGATGTTTAGATGATTTATTCATGTGTTTATCATAAAGCGTAAAATGGTTGAACTGTTATGTTTGCCTCTTCAAAAGAAACTTTTATTAGAAGTATTGTAGAAAGAGTTAATTCATCTGCCGCCTTTCCTGTTAGAGTTTTCAGTTCTAGATGTAGAAAYGCTGACCTTTTTTAACAGTTGGTCCAGTTGTTTATGACATATTTTGCTAACAGAGTAAATCCCGATACTTATGCAAATGTTTGACATTTGATTATACTGCTGAAATTGATGCTAAGCTACTACCACACCAAAGTTTAACACAATATGTGGAGAATAATCTGAATTATGGGTGTTTTTTGTTTCCTAAAGTCAGGTTGCTTTGGCAGCCATCTTGAATTTGTTTCACAACAAAAGATTATCAGTTGCAGTTGTACATCCACAAAGTTACTTTATGTAAATTTCAGTAAAATCCCTCATTGAGATATTTTGCTAACGGTACAGTCAAACAAACAAAGGGCAGAAACATTTGATGGTGGGCTATAAATAAATCAAGTTTCTTTCTGGTGGTTCTGTTTAGATATCAGGCTGGAAAATAAGGAGCTGAGCAAACAGAACAGAAAAGTCCACTCAGCTGGCTGCTTTTTTTTTCTAAAGTACTGTCATTTAGTCATGCTGTTCTGATAAAACACCTGCATTTGTTTTTAAATCTAGTGGAAACTGCACCCACTAGCTCAACATTATTACAAGGTTAGTTTTCTGGCCCAGCATGCGTTTCACCTGTGACTGTAACTGAAGCATTAAGTGCATGCTGTAACACCTCACTGTGTGGCTGCAGAGTCACTTTTCCAAGAAAAAAAAAATTCTCTGTCATTCTGTCAGTCCACAGTTTGTCATATTAGATTTCCATTATAAATGTTCATTTTTTAATGATTGTTTTATGTTTGAAAGAAGTCACAAAGCAAACAGCTACACAGACGCCATATATATGAATGCTTTCTGAAATGCAACTTTCTTTATATAAGTTTGTTTTTCTCTGCCAACCTAAATGCTTCATTGTGATTGTGCTTCATTTTGGTTTTTACTTGCATTTTCCTCCATGTAAGTATTTATTATTGTTCACTCCATCTGTTGTGCTTCAGTGATGTTTTGCCCCTGTGGTTAAATTTGAAATGTACATCCTGTAGTGCCAAGTAAAGCAGTAAAGCTGGTACCTCACTGGGCTGAAACTTGTTGTTAAACAGTATTTATGAATGCTGGGTGATGTTTGCTGGTGGTTTTTAATTTGAGATTAAAACAAGATGAGGCAGATACAGTGTTGGTGGTGATAGACAACAAAATAATGTGCATGGGCAAGAAGGCAAATTTACAAGCTGACTACGCAAAAAAGTCACAATTTTTAAAGGGATCCCCTATAAGTTGTAACATTAGACTTTATTTGAAAAACATATGCTTTAACTGTAAAATAAAGACTGTAAAAATACTGTAGGATGTTCAATTTTTGTAATTTTTAAACTTAAAGTTTAAAAATATATTACATGGACGGGGCCATTTTATTTACATGCAA